AACTATATCACTTACACGTTTGTACTGTCCGTTCGGCATTCACAAAGAATAAAAATAACAGAAAAAAAAACAAGCAAGCGATATTACTGTTCACTTTTTCCGCATTGTCACCAAAATTATAGAAAACTATCCCTAATATCAGCGCGACACCGATGTGCGTCATAAATCTTATTTTTGTTAAGACCTGAAAAATTAATTAAAAAACAACAGTATTTTAATTTTTCAATCAGATTAAAAGATTACTTCAAATATTACTTTTGAAAGTTTCTACTCACTGTATCTCGTTTTATATAGATTAGAGCTCGTAAAAATAAAATTTTTTGCTGTTGCCACGTCGATTTTTCTTGTATTATATTGTTTATTAGTGTATTTGTATCATTTGTTTCACATTTTTGCTTGGAGTCAATTGATGAATTCAATTCTATAAAAATGTCAATTACTCAGTCAGAAATTATAATGGAATCGATTCGATGTCGATTCCATTATCATCTCTGAGAGACTGGGTAGTTATTATAAAAGTTATTAAGAGTTATTTTAACAGTCATCAAAAAAGGACTCCGCACAAATTTTATGAAAAAAATTGAATTTCGGTCGAATTGCCTTTGAAAATTTGATATGTTGTAGATCTTGTCATCCTGATAAAAGGTCTCCACGAACACAACTCCCTATAATGAATCGTTTGACTTCTACGAGGCATCATTTTTCAAAATTGGCTAATATTATTTTATTTTCAACGAGTATGATGTATTTCTACGTTATTATTTGCTCTTTTGGTGTATATTTTTAAGTAAAAAAATTATAAGAATAATATTGACTTAATTGTTTCTCACAAAAAACTATAAGGATATCAAAGTTGATAACTTGATTTTTGAGACGTGAAGTCAACGTTGAGTTGCTTCACATCTAAGAAAATGTACTTCTCGAATAAAACCTAAGTATCCAATCCATTTAATAGTAGTTTTAATTTTTCTTTAAATATTTTTATTGAAGGTCTTTTTATTCCAATCCAAGTAATAGCAACTTTAATTCTTTGTTAAAAATTACTACTCCTTGAAAAAAAACTAATGTAGCAAATGAAAAATTAAAATCAGATATTAGAATTTTAACTAATCAAGTGAAATTCTATCAAATTAAAAAATATAAAACGTATCTTTTGTTACTTATTTCTAATGATATGTATCATTCGTATAAAAGATTTGATATCAACAAAAACTGGCGCCAAGTCCACAAAATTTTATGTATCATTCATAAAAGAGATTTGATATCAACAATTGGCGCCAAGTTAAATTTCATACAAAATTAAATAATACCCAATGAGAAATGACAATGAAATCGATATCGATTAATCTTTATCTCTGTATAACGTAGAATTATACACACACACACACACACACACACACACACACACACACACACACACACACAATATTATTATATAACACACATATATATAATATATAATACAATAAATAAATAATAATTTTAATTATTCTGTTTTTTTATATTATCTAAATTCTTCAAAGCTTTTTTAATACGAACTTTATGAAAAGCTAGAGCCTCATATTTATCTTTGCAATAGGACTAAAAACTCTTTGCATAGTCTTGTTTCATAATTACTTTTACAAACAATTCATTTTAAAGCTACTTTTTACAACAATTGTTTTTATAACTACTCATACTATTAATTCTTATTAGTTAAATATTTCTTTCTTGTAAAAAAATTATATTTTTTTAATAAATAAAATTAAAATTCCTTTTTTTATTGAATCTTGTAATACAAAACTCACAATAATCAAACAATCCGATTTGTGAGAAACAATCAGATGAATATTTATCTTTATAACTTTTTATTTAAAAATATACTTAGAAAGTGCAAATAATGACGTAAGAATGCACTGTACATGAAAATAAGAAATTTTAGTATTAATCCATTTCAAAAAGTGACTCCTCGTGGAAGTCAAACGGTTTACAGAGAGTCGTACCTGTGGAAACTTCTTATCAGGACGTAAAATCTATAACATATCAAATTTTCAAGCAATTCGACCGAAATTCAATTTCGAGGTTTTTGCGGAGTTTTCCTTTGTTTCTCACAATTTTATATCTATAAATTATCTTGCTTATTTTTGCGTATTTTTTATTGAATAACATTAATTTTATGTATACAAAGGCAGTACTGAATGTCTAACTGATTCAATATTTCTAAGAATTTTAATTTCTGTAAAGAATGTTAGTCAGTACGTAAATTGCTTTTTATTTAATTATCGTGAAGTGATAAAAATATTAATAAATTAATATTAATTACGAAAGTAATTATTAATAAATTGTTATGGATTGAAAAAATAATATCGAGATATTTACTGTTTTTATTATGTCTGCTATGTAATTTGAATTTTTCGCATTCATCACGACAAATTTTGTATAGATTCTCCAAGTCACCACCTCTTTGCTCGGTTATTACTTCGAGCACTGCAATTAGAAAAACGCAATTAATATTGATTAATTTTTATTTATAATATGTTTTTAAATTATTTTAATTTCTAAAATAATTTTATAATTTAAAAATTTTAGCAACTATTTTAAAATGTACTTATCATGATCTAAATATGACTGAATAGATTTATAAATAACACATATATGTTACAGTATACATGTATAAATTTTTATAAATTTTGTCTTAAGAGTATATCTTCTTCAAGGATTTACATAAGTTAAAAAAATATTATTAAAAAAATAATATTGTTACAGATAAATACAGATATACATATTAATATTTCTCTCTTATTTTGATTCTTATTCAAATATTAAATAAAAAATAATAATCTGTTATTACTCTATTTTTCAAAATTTGCAAAAAATATTTTTAAAATTTTATAAAATTTACACTACAAGTTAAATAAAAGAAGAAACTAATTTTAAAGTTATAAAAAATTTATGAGAAAAATGCGTATAGCTTTATTCTGTCAATAGTCTTTTTCAAATTCTTTCGTCTTTTCTTTTAATTTGTATAATTAATTTAATTACAATATAATTGTAATCAAGACGGATCGATAGAGTCAACATTACCAAATTCGGCTATGTTATAGAAGTTGGGACACGTGAACCCGGCAACGTTGTACGTCTTTAAAATCTCGCTCTTTGGACCGCAGTACATACTTCTGCCTTGACTCAATACCATAATGTCATCGAAGAGCGAAATTATTTGACTACTGGGTTGATGTATTGCACAAATCACAGTGCAATTTGCTCTCGACATATTATGCAGCGTGTTAACGAGCTATTCAACACAAATTATATATTCTGATACATCACATTAAAATTGAACATTATTACAAAACAATGCATTATAACATTTTAGCAACATTGCAATATTCCAGTAAATGAATTAACATTATTTGTCGTCATTTTGATATATTAAAATAACTGCAAATAATGTTAGCTGATTTGTTGAAATTGCTACGATATTATATTTCTAGAATGTTCTGTGCAATTATGCAAAAAAAAATTATTAACTTAAAATGTAAGTTAAAATTATTAACTTACAAAATATAATGTAAGGTATTGGTTTATTTTAATTAGGAATGTATCGGATGCATAAACACGTATAATCATATATAAAATATCTATATATCTCTCTTTCTTATGTAAAATTATTTCTTATGTAAAATTATTTTTTAGTATAATTGAAATAGTAATGTGTGAAAACAAAAAATAATTAAAGGGATAATTTTCGCATTGTTTGTTTTAGAAAAAAAAAATTTGAAAAAATATTCATACACAATTATGCATAATTTTATTCAACTTTACTCAGAACCAACTGTCACTCAGATCACATATAGTGAATTTAATATCTATATAATAATCAAACGCCCTTAGTTTAATCTGTGCAAGATTACATTGGTTATTAATTATATTGGTCAAAACTTAACTAAAGCCATTGATTCATATTCATTGGATCTTGTGCGAATTGATATGTACATTCTTGAATATACTGTAATATTAAATATTTTTTATTCTTGAATTATAGATTTTGTTATGCTCTTTTTCAATTAAAGCCATTTTTTATTATATTCAAATGTCAAATATTCAGATTTTGTTATGCTCTTTTTCAATTAAAGCCATTTTTTATTATATTCAAATGTTCGCTTATGTCTGCTTATTATATTCAAAACGTTCGAGTTAGAGTTTGAGAGATGTTTGTCATATGATCTCGAGCGTGCAATCGGATGAGGCCATCACAGGTTATTTCAAGCGTTTATCATGTAAGTTTAGTAAGTTAGAATCAACGAAACATTCTTTTTGAGATAATAACAATTTAATATAAAATTGTATTTGATTAATAGTTAATTTGACAATTAAAATAAATAAGCTCTTGGATGTCTAAAGAATATAAACATATAAAAACAGAAACAAATGAACTAGTATTAATCTGTTTACATATTTTTTTAACTTATGATGTTCATGTTATTTATATGACAAATACTTTTTTTAAGTATTAAATATTTGTTAAGAAGGATCCAAATTGGCGATCGAAATGTCTAGAATTTAATGTATATTGAATAAATTAATTACACATAACCAATTAGTATCGACTCTTATAAGCACTCTTTTATATTTTGTGATTTTATTTATATATAATTATATATATAATTATGCATAATTGTGTATGAATATTTTTTTTATATTCTTCCAAACTTGTTTTTTTCTAAAACAACAACAATGTGAAAATTATCCTTTTAATTATTTTTTATGTTTTCATATTACTATTATTATTTCTACTACATTAAAAAATATTTTTACAAAAAAAAAGAGGAATGTATACATGTTTCATATATGATTATATATGTTTTTATGAATATTTATGTATACTTATACATATTTATATGTATTCATGTTTAAAAAGTTATTATTTGAGTGGTAAAAATTTTTTTACCACTCAAATACCTAAAAAGAAATGACACCAGATATACAATTTCTCTACTCTATTTAAAAGAAAAAGATAAAAAGGAAAGCAATTAGAAAAATAATAATTTTCTTTAGAGGTTTTGAGATGTTTCTTATTAAAATTTGGGGAAATTATTAATATTTTTCTGATTGATTTTTATGTTGAAAATTTGAAAATAATCGGCACGTAGTCATATTTTTAAGATAAATTAATTCATTTAAAAAATACATACGTACATTCATAATATGTAAATATTAATTTAACACCTAACTTTGAAAATGGCGCTTCACTCTTTAAATAATTTTCTTTATCTTGCCGACGTAAAAAGAAAAAGAAAAAAATGAACTGTATAGAAAGTTAAAGTGAAAAGAATAGAATTCAGCATTAATAAAGACTCGAACTTTCAACATAAAATATCAACCGGATATATTATCAGATATTAATAATATGCGGCTATCCGAGAGAATAAAAAGAGGCCGAATAAGACCGGATATCGTATACTTTCAGGATATCCAGTACATACCCTAATATTATATAATTAATATTATACAATGTTTTTGAAATGATCGTTAATAATATATAACTGCATTATTAATATACGTATACCTGATAAGAGGCCACACTATCGAGACCGCTTGTTGGTTCGTCTAATAATAGAATAGATGGTTTAGCAATTATTTCCACGCCGATAGAGAGTCTTTTTTGTTCGCCACCACTTAATTTGTTCGCTAATGTGTCCAGACAATTTGATAAACTGAGAGTTTCTGCTATATCGTTTACCTGATAGAAATAAATAATATCTGATGTGTAATGAGTCAATCTTTTACTCACCATATATATGATAAATTAAGCTAAATACTATGAGAAATAATATGTATGTATATATACATACTATTTTTACTATAATACTATAATAATATAGGATGTCCAAAATTCGCGATTCAATATATTATCAAGGAAGTTCTAATGAAATAAAATAAGAAAGTTATTTGTAAATTTTTGTTTTAAACAGTAATTTTTTAGATAATAAAGCTTTAAATATAGTTATAGATTACATTTAGATGACTATAAGTCATGTATGCAGTAGTATTAGTAAGTGCGTGCCTCTCTCTCTCTCTCTCTCTCTCTCTCTCTCTCTCTCTCAGCGTTCACTAATACTCACAGGTAATTATCTAAATGTAGTCTGTAATTGACAATATTTAAACCTTCATATCTCAAAAACTATTGCTTAAAATAAATTTACAAATTACGAATTTAGACAATAAGATTTTTTTATGTAGTGGAGGAAGTTCACTATGACAAGATAATTATTACGTATACATTCTGTAAAGGCGCCTCTAAAGAGGGCTCAAAAATGAGTCGAAACATGTAAGTCCATTATTATATAATAAAGAGTTTTGTGTTATATCTATATATTATTTGCACAACGACTACCGCGTTCGATTCTTATATTGCCTTGTCATCTTCAAATTTCTTTTGAATAAGCTTAAGTTTAAGAGAAATGCCCAAGCTGAATACAAGTCATATGATGTCAAAATGATTCCAAAATGATTATTAAAAGTCATTTTTTAATCATTTCCGATTCATTTCAATGTCATTTTTATCGTAATTTGTTGCGTTCTGTTTGAGTGGAAATATGCATACCTAATTAAATGCTAAAAATAACTTCGAAAACGTTTCGAAATGCTCGAAAGTAAAAATGATAAATGCTAAGTATTATTTATTAGCATATTAGTATCATGGTATAATCCATTTTGGAACATTTTAACAACATTGTAATGATGTTACAACGTTGCTACAATGTTGTTGAACTGTTCCAAAATGTTTCTTGCTTACTGGGAATGAACTATTGAACAAATGTTTCCAAAAAAATCATTTAATATTCATAGCGGAAATATTAAGAGAAGCTACTATTGGGTTGTCCGGAAAGTTCGTGCCGATTAACCTATATAATTTAATAAATGTACTAAAATTTAAATTTTCTGCGTTTCAATTTTCCTTCAACATCGACACAAACTTTACGGACTCAATATATTCTCTAAATCTGAATCAGTGAATAGTCACTAATTACCCAGTGCTTGCGGCACTGCTAATCAGTGAAGTTCAATTAAAAAAGGAAATATGTTTGAGCATTATATAACTGAAAATACTGATATTTGCACTTTAATTTCAATTTTCAAATAGCATATTCATTGAATTTAAGCACTAAAATTACCCGATAAAAAGTTTTTCATGCATGAATATATATAAATATGTATAATATTTTATATATTTTTTATATTTTATATTTTTACTGTTATTATTTCTAATACACTAAAAAATAATTTTACGAAAGAAAGAAGGATATATGAATATTTATGCGTGTTTATACATATTTATTCATGAAACATTTTTTATTAGGTAGTTAGATCACATAATAAAGATTAGCTATTATATCTTAAGAATCTCATATTTAATTCATTGATTACTAGAGACCATTACTTGGTACTAATATGTGATTATCCATTGAGTCAGATTTAAAGAATATCTAGAAGGCCATAATGACATCTTATTTTCTATGTATACAAACACTTGAAAATTTTCTTATTTACTTACAATTGAACAAATCGCTTCTTTGTTTTGATTAATGTCAAGTTTCAGTCGAGCCGCTATATAAAGAGTTTCTCTAGTTGTGAGGAACGGTAATAGAGCCAATTGTTGCGGTACGTAGCACACCTGTTTCCGAAATGTCCCTTTATTTCGTTCAACGCCGTTTATGGTAATGCTGCCCTTAATATCCGTCAATCGTTTGCCAGATATGATTTTCAGCAGAGTGGTCTTTCCCGCACCGGAAGGACCGATTATCACCGTGACTTTCCTCCATTCGAAGTAGCCCGTTACATTATGTAAGATTGCTTTTTCAGTCTCTAAAATAATAGATGTTCTTCTTTAACTATGTTGAAGCGACATAAAAAACGCGATATCCATCATGAAGCGTTTTTTTTCGTTGTACAACCAAAAGTTACGACTATCTTCTGGTCTTTGAAGACGAAGATGCCTTAGCTGTGACGTTTCTGAATCAGTGGATAACGTAAAAATGCTTATAATTAGTCCGAAAATTCAACTCGCAATTCAATAATTACAAATATAGTATATGAATTCACATGAAATTATTTAACTAAAGATTCAACTTTGACCGTTATAGACTTTTTTTCCTATTGATTGTGTATTTACATGTACGATAGAATAAGATTCTTATTGTTTATACTGAAATAAAGACGTTTTGTTTTCGTACTATCAATTATTGCGAATATCACAAAAGTCTCGATGGTATTAAGTAGAGTTGTTTATGGTCGGAATCTTTTGGTTTAACAAAAAGTTTGAAATGTGTCGGTATTTACCCGTTATCGTTTCTATTCCTAACTTCATTGCTGTTTTGTTATAGCGCGCGATGTTCGGTCTCAGAGACGACATTAGTCTGAAATCGTTAAAAGTTTTTGATCTGTGTCTTTCATTATAGCTGTATTCAGCAGAGCACAACAGTTTTGCAATTGTTTTATATTTATTGATTGTCTGCGAGATAATATCATTTTTCTATAGCTATAAAGTATAATCCAATCAGCGCGAAGAAACTTTTAGACAATTGCAAAATAATCGTTCTGCTGAATGAAGCCTATATTTAAAAAAAGCCTATATTTAAAAAGTATTTAGTTACTAATGTTATAAGATATTATATAGTTATATATTTTTATAGTTAAATATGTTATGAATAATAGTATCTTATAATATTAGTAACACAATACTTTTAAACATAGTGAAAAATACAGGTCAAAAACTTTTATAACGATTTCAAACTAATGTTGTCCCCGAGAATCGCGCACTACGATATAACAACAATGAAGTGAGGAATAGGAATGATAACAGGTGTGAATAACCGACATTTCGATTTCAAGCCAAAAACTCCGATCTTCCGATAAAAAATTGCATGAATATATA